TGGTGATAGTAATACTTTTACTAGAAAAAACTACAAGTGGGATTAAAATGATACTAATTCGAGTTAATCGCGAATAATAATTAATCATTAGCTTCCATTGCATGCTTATGGTTGATAGTTGTATTTTTTATAAGTTAAGATGGGAATATGAACAATTTGTTGGTCACTCATGTTTGTTTAAAGATAGATCAGTGGGTTATATTGTTTATAGTTGAAAGAAAGTATGATTTCATGCCACTACTAAAGCTGACTTTGCTAAAAAAATTTCACTAATTAAGTTTCTGTGTATGCTGTATGTCTTGCTCTTCTGGGTTTTATATTGGTATTTGACTTGGTACGTTAGGTCTTCGAAAGCTCTTCAAGAAGAAACTTAGGTTTATAGTCTTTTTCAGAAAGAGGGTGAAGAAACGAATGAAAATGATGCCTTGGAATTGATAGAGCCGTCTATATTTGAGAAACACTTGCACAGCATCAGCACAAGTCCAGGGTCTCTAAATGAGGCTCTTGCTTAGGGCGAATAGGCGGGTAGGGGAGAAATGGGGGGATTCATTTGTGCACAACATGGTTTCTGCAATGATAGAGACTGTTTTTGTTAGACCCTTGATCTGAAAATGACAATCTTTATTACTGTACATGAAATAAGAAGTGTAAGACAATACTTTCCTGAATCATTGAACCTTAAGCTCTGTCGAAAATGAAAGGGTTTGAGAAGCTACCGTATCAGAAAATAATGGAGTAAGGGTGTCTGATTTTTAATGTTTTTCTCCAGATAGCTGAATTTCGTCAAGCCAACAAAGTTATCTTAATAAACTTCTGGTTCAATAATCATATAGAACTCAAAGGAGGAGATGCTTATATTTTCTCCTGAATTCTAAGATTGAAAGAATTACTTTTATTGGAGTGGGATTGGTTCATAAGATAATTAAATTGTTTGTATTATGATTTTATTGTGCAAATATCAGACGTTGCTGTGTTTCAGAATCTATGGCTTCACCTTCACAGCTTCACTTTAGTCTCTTTATAATTGTATAGGGATGAGGTTGCATACATCTGATCTCGTTCATCAGTTAATCTTCCTTTAGACCTTTATACATATGCTGAATGAGTCTTATTCTTGTCATAAATCCAATGTTTTCAAGATGAAAAGTATTATACAGGTGCACCAAATTCATCTCAGATTCGTAACATTATGTTGGTAGTGAGGTAAAGAGAGTTCTAGTGGAGACTTGCAGGCTGACGTTAGTTTGTAGTGGAGACTTGCATGTCCCATGTCTTTAGGTTTTTGATGAATCACTTGACCACTCTTGCTGTTGCGAAACTTTATGCTATTGGTCTTTTATGTATAGAAGAGCGAATCTCACACATTCACACTTTAAATAGCAACCAGTTTCGTACAATGTTCATAATCTTACCAATGATTATGCTGAAGACTAACACTACTTCAAAGATTATCCTTCTTTACTTCTGTTACCATCTGTCTTAATCCTCTCCGATTTTGAAAAATTTGAGGTGTGTACATTGTTTTTTTCTATTTTCTTATTCCCTGATTTTTAAGAGAATTGTTTTGAGCAATAACAGAAGAATTTGGAGGAGGGCAGAAACCTTTCTGCCTGAGTAGGTGGAAGCAAGTTTCGTGACAGTTACAGTAGAGTGTGAAAGAAACAGCTAATAAAAAAACATATCATGCAAGTCTTTCTCATTCGCTCACTGTGCAGTGTGCACCTTCACCAAACTCTACTACCAGTATCTATATTAATTGTTTCCGAGCATGGTTTGATGCTAGACAAAGATATAACAGATAAAAAAACGAGAACACACTATTAGTTGTTAACTTAATTGCATTGGTCAATGAGGCGTGCCTACTGCTGTCTTACTCTATGAGTCTATTCCAACCCCAATTCCTCTCTGTTCCTGTAGTTTCTATTTTTGTTAATATTCGATTGTTTGGTTGGTTTTATTGATTATGCCATCATATAGTGCTCGGCATGGCAACAACAGTAACAACTACCTAGATTTTATCCCTCTTTAGGCTGAAATAAAGAAGATCAAGATGTACGGAATCTTCAAAGGTTATGATGGAAGGAAACTACAGTGAAATTACTTTGAATGTGAGACTGAAAGTAATTAAGTAGTAGCAAAAGCACAGTAGCAGTTCTAGCACTAGTTGTAGTCATTATCGCGTTAATAGTAAAAAACATTAGTTGAGAGTGGAATACATGAGAGAGACAAGTGAAGAACACAGAAAAGCTAGACCAAAACAACAACAGCTAGAATTGTTACCAGAATTTTCAAGGGTCAGATATGCTTTCTGGTTACAGTACCTGCCTATGGAAAGAAATAATTTCGCTAAATCGTAGCTCATTACCTTCCTCCTAGGATTTTCCTCTATTCAAATCTCTGATCGTGATCCTTCATAGCTCGTCACTTTGGGAGCTGAGGCGCTTTCTATTGACATATTTAAAGCATCAAACATGAGCCTCACATATATTATCTCAAAGTTATGGATGTAGCGCAAGCCATACTTGAGTTCTACTAAAGTAAATGTGCTTTCATGCTATTATGGCCAATTATTTCCTTGATTCTTCTGGTGGAGATCCCACCTAGCTGAGGTGTGTTTGTCCGTTTGGAGGGGAGGGTTGAGGTTAGGTATGTGCAGCTAACCTGTAAATGTTGCAAAGAGACTATATGATCAGTATCCCTATGATTGTGAAATAGTTGCAACATATAGACTGTCAATTCAATAGGGGATTCACTAAACTTACATTATACTTCAGAAGTTCAGATAAGAAGTAAGGATCTTTCATTGGCGCATTTGATTTAGTTCATGATTTAACGTTAAAGGGTTGTCCACAGAATCTACTAACTTGGTTGAACTGGATGAGAACCATTGCTTTGTAGAAGTATAGGACATACAGAGTGATTTTTTTTTTTAATAGTTACTCTTACATTCTGAAAGTAATTTTATATTTAATCTTTTTTTGGAATCATTGTCTTTAGTTTACACAGGTTGACATTTGTAATAGGCTGATCATGTTGCACATAAAACAGCTTCATCAAAATGGTGAAATTTTTTCATGAGAATGTTTATCTACTTAAAGAAGTTAGGACAGTTGTTGCCTTTCTCGAGACTGTGAGAGTCTGTACTAATGAAATGTCAAACTGAATTACCATGGTTTGTGGTGCTTCGGATTAAACTTGGAGAAATTTTGACAGTATAGTGAGGCTCGATTGTGATTATGGAGGGTGAGATAAATAGCAGGTAAATAGCTAGATTACTTCGTTCTGTACTGCAGCAAAAATTACTGCCAAGTTCTATTAGACTGAGACCTTAACATAGGTGAACTGATGAAATCATATTAACTGTATCATCTGTCTGAGGATGTAAGTATCGGTAAAACAGGCTGCAGAGTGCAGAGTGCAGAGTGAAAAAGAAATCATACAGATTATTTGAATTAAAATTGGAGATTACAGTTTTAGTTAATGTGTGGTTTAGTTATTTGTAGTTGCCTGATCATATTTCCTATCTTTCTATGAGAATTTTTAGTCATTTTCTTCCATCCTGTTTAACCAATTGCGTAGTTGACTGTTTTAACTTTTGAATTCTAGGGAATAGTTTTGTTATACTTCGTATCATATATATATATGATCCTTAAACTACGGTTTTTATACATAATGTGCTTGATGTGCCTTTGCCTGGTTGCATAATGATTATTATCAATAGGTAAAGGCGGTAGTTTTCCATTGTTCAATACTTCAATCCAGATCTCGGTCTCCACTTGTGTGCTCTCTAGAGAGGAAATGTGTGATCCTGAGGTGGTGGATGCTTCAATGGTTTGGCATAAAAGTTGCCAATGAGGCTGGTCTAAGAAGGGTGATTGCGGAAACAGACAACCTCAAACTATACCATCATCTGAATAGAAGCAAGGAGATTATGGTGTTGGTGTGTTGTAGGCTGGCCTTCTTAATCTAGCTATTTCAGTTCTTTTTTTTCTCATGTTAAGAGAGTGTAATAACTAATAAGGTAGTTCATGAACAAGCTATAATTTGAGTCTTCCATTTGGACTTGGGAGTCAATCCTATTGTAAAGTAATCTTTGACCAGGAAAGTTTAATTGAATTCACCTTATAAGAAATGAAAAGGTTTGAGTTTTATTTTATTTTTTATTTTTTATTTATTATTATTTTTTTTTTGGAAAGGAATGAAGATTGAGATTAATATTTGTTGGAGATTCTCATTTTCGTTCCGTTTTTATCTTATGTCTCATTATCTATATAAAGTGTATTACATAATTATTTTGTGAATAAATTAATAAAATGATTCCAATTTGATGTTATATTACGTAATAAAGGGTGAGACACAAGATGAGACATATAATTGACTTGGTTTATATGAGCATATGTATTAAAAGAAGCATATTATGTCATTTTTTTTTGTTTGAGTGTGTTGTACACTTGTTATTATTTACTCGTATACATATATTGCTCAGATCATGCTTGTGTACTACTCTGTATATACGTAGTATAAGTTATTTTGTGAATTTGGTATAAAAATTGTATTAAAGCTAATTGATACAACCCTTTCTTTAAAATTTTGTTAAATATGAGCGTAACCTGGTAAAAATAAGGGCTTCGTTTAGCTTGTTATTGTGTTAAAGTCAATTGATACTAATTTTGAGGAAAAAAAAAAGAAAATATACATTTACTATAAGGATCTTCTAATGAGCGCCCGAAGCGTTAGATAAGGAATAATAATATTGGTTGAAATAATACTGAGTTAAGAATGTATGACAAAATCACACGCCGTTCGATATAATTAATGTTAGTTTTACTATAATATTTCTAGTTTCAATTCTCTTATCCAACGACCCAAGGACGTTTATTACCTTTTGCCATACTATAATAATACAATTAACATAAATTTATGTTTGGTCAAGGAAGAAAAACCTGAAATACAAGCCACAGTATGTTTTTTCATTCATGTTTAATTGCGAGCATTACCCAATAAAATAAGGGTGTTGTTTAATTTGTTATTGTTTATTTGTGTTAAAGTCAATTGATACAAATATTGAAAAAAAAAAACTAAAAAAAACGAGAAAAAAAAAAAGAAAAGAAAAAGGTTAGACTAAAGAGGAAGCAAATCAAAGCCAGCTTGAACGGAAGAAGCACTACAGTAGCAATTGTGAAGGTCAAGTAATGGTGTCTGTAAAGTGTAATCAGTAATATATGTAGTAGTACTGAACAATTTGTAGAGCTTCAAAAATGGCGATGATGAGAGGGAAAACATGGAAGTTGAGCTTATTCTTTTGCATGATCTGGGCAATCACTATACTCTATGGCGAGATGTTTGCTTACTGGGTTCCTTTTCTTTGGTCTTATTCTTGGCCTCATCAATCCTCTTCTTCTTTGGTTACTTCTCATCTTCCTCTTTTCTTCTTTGTATTGGTTATTTTTTAGCTTGTTTATTGTTGATTTTGGTTGCTTAATTATTGGGATTTGGAAGTCATGATTGTTTTTTTTTTTTTTTATTAAATTTTGTTAGTAGCTGGGTGTTTATTGATTAGCTTTTGATGTAAATTTGTGGGTTTTTCTTGTTAAATTCAATTTTGTTTTGGGGTTTGAAGAAGAAAGAGGGGAAAAAGGATTTTATTTGTGGGTCTTTTTTGTTTTGATTTTGTTTTTTGTCGTTTCAATTTTTTTTTGGTTTAATGTGCTGATTTGAGCTATAACTAGATGATTTGGCTGGTTTAATGAAGCTGCAACTTAATTGCAAATGTGATTCACAATCAATACATTACTTCTGGGAAGAATTAAGCTGAAAGAAATTTTAAGTGGGTTTCTCAATTAGCTTCTCAATCTTTGAATGACATTTGTAAATAAACAATGCAAAGATAAATTGATTCAGCACAAGTCACTTTTATAATGGCTTCAGATTTTAATGGATTTACAAGCATAAATGATAGTGTTTTGTTCTTTGAGGGAGAGAGGGGGGGGGGGGGTGACATTATAGGTGGTAGTTTATTCAATACATGAAAATGAATTCTCAAGCTTGTATGACCTAGGTCTTCCTTTAGCCAGTTTCTGTCACCTGAAGAGTTTGTACTTCCTGCCTAACTTTACATGGTATTAATAACACTAATCAATTGATGATGCTAATTGCAAAGTTTCTCAGTTTCTGATATAATAGAACACTACACAAACTAAGAAATAAGAACAATAATTGGCCTTTGATGAAAGGAACACAATGCGAATCATGAAAGGAAGCTGAAGTGGCAAATATTTAAAGCAGTAAATTGTGAAAATGCTTATTTGATGGAATGCTTCTGAATTTTTTTTTTTTTGTCAAATTTATTTATAGGGAAGTGATACATCGAGCGAATACATAAAAGTAGCTGTCATCACTGACCCTCAGGTGACTTTTGTCTACTGCTTGTATTTGTTCCTGGACCTACCCTTAATCCTAATTCATTATTAATGTGTAACAGCTGATGGACAGAACCTCCCATGATTTTGGTCCCAAATCAGTTGCTTTGGAGATTGCTACATTTTATTCTGATCTTTACATGCGCAGAGCATTTCTTTCTTCAATTTTGCCTTTCAAACCTGATGCAATCTTATTCTTGGGTGACTACTTTGATGGAGGTCCACGGCTGTCAAATAAAGAGTAAGGCCTGATTACATGCACTCATTTGTTACTCATATTTTAGCTGTATGTGTTGGGTGGAGTAGGATGTGCTACAAGTACAAAAATTAGCTGTTGTGTGCTTCGTTTCTTGTTGAAGATAAGGATTAAAATATTAATCAATAATATAATTGGTCGATTTTGGACCCTGGACGTAAAAATGGTGTTGGTTGTTGCAGTTATTGTCTTATTGCATGATGGTTTATATATATTCTGCTTATATATCCTTTGTATATATAGATACAGTGGCATAACTAGGAAGATTTATTCTGGTACTGGTGTAATACATGTACCATACAAGATGTCTTTATAGTTTAACTAATCATAGATTGGGTAATCAAAGAGATTTTCAAAACAGCGGAGCACACAGAAGAATTTTTAAAAAATTAACAGTAAAGTCCATTGGTGTTTCCTCAAAAAATACTTTGAGCATGTGATCTGAAATTAGTCACACGAACAGAGTGAATGTTGACGTATATGTATAGATCTTAACCTAGTTCTACTTGTAGAGGAAGTACATTAATGTCTGGATAAATTTTATGAGAAAAAAACATAGCTAGAATCCCATCATTCTAGATATTGTCAACATCTATTTTAAATACACATTATTGATTAAGAACTAAGTCTAAATTTATCTACTAGAGTAATGTCTGGCAAATGTGTCAAAGGCATTGCTCAAATTTAAACACATAAATTTGGATATCTGCTGCGGATGCCATTAGTTTGACACTGTTCCCTTCAAAAATTATACAATTTTTTAGTGGTGCTAGTGCACAGTCCAACCATTTAGTTTTATGCACTCTATTGGGCTTGCTTTCTTTGTTCAATCTTGCTCTCCATATTCCGAATTCTAATTTATTGTTAGGGGAGTTATAGAGAGCCTTTGGTAAAAGTTAGTAAATTTGATCAATCTTATGCTAAAATAGTCATGTCACATTCATCCAAAATTCTCCTACAACCAATATTCAAAATTAGCTTTTCATACGAGCACATAAACTTCTATTCCAACTCCCTCTTAACCAAGCATTCTCATTTGAGGTTTGGAATAGTCGAACCTCTCTCAACCAAACACCCCTTAACTTTCTAAACCTTTTGGATTCCATTCCTCTCTAGTCAGCCCCCTTGCTTTTGCTAATCTCTTGACTTTGCTATGTTGAATCTTCATTGAAAACTTGAAAATGCCTTCATCGTTGCCCTTTTTATTCCTTTTTTATAAGTTCACCCATGGGAGGAAACTGATTGTGGAGCATACCATTAGAAGACAACTAGAGGGAAGACAATTTGACATGGATGTTGATATGTGCTGTTTTATTTTTGGATCTTGAGTCTCATGATAGTGAGGATAGGCTACAGACTTACAGAGTGGCTAAGGGGAGATAATCAAGCAACTGTTCATTTGAGAAAATAATTGGGGAAAGTTGTACTAGATTTATTTTATTTTTGACTGAAAACAATTTTCAGCATTCTAAAGGCTTTTTTAGTCTTGGACTTTTATGATGTCAGTGTTCCATTAATAACGGACTCCTTGTGCAGCCTATGAATTTTGTATTCTGATCGATCACTACGGGATTTTATAAATGATTTACCTATGATCATTGTGGCTGAAACTTCTTTTGTGATACCATATTCTTATATTCTTTGAGAGAAATCTTGCATGGTCCTCAGAAGTTCTACATAAATTTTCATCCCTAGTGAATATCACTCTAATCACAGTCATAAATCATGAGTCATATGTAAATTTTCAACTAAAATGATGACAATTTCTCTATGTCGGACTCTAAGTAGTAGTGTAGATGAATCATCGCATTTAATATGTTGAAGTTTGCTCTACGTATGCATTCATGATCAGGAACCACTTACATTCTTTTAGCCAATAGATGGCAGGAATCTTTGAGCCGGTTCAAGCATATCTTTGATCTGGGTAAACAAGGAAAAACTAAAGATATTCCAGTTTACTACATTCCTGGAAAACCACGACATTGGCTATGCTGGCCATCTTTTCCATAAGCCAGAGGTATATAGTGTTTTTACCTTTTGATCTTGGGTGAATTTTTTCTTGATTAAAGTCTTCAAGGTTTCTAATAAATTTTCTATGTAATTACAACTTAAAAACTTGTTAGCAGAAGTTTTTTATTATTTCAAGTACTTTCAAAATGTATTATTTCACAAAGGGTCCCTTATGCAATACAATTTGATCACTTATTATACAATACCCTAAGAGTTGATTCTGATCATGTTTTATGGATCTTGCAACAAACTGGATAGGGAAACAGGCCTAATGTCTCTATATATGGATGTTCATCATTTCCATTTAACCTGCTGACTGGCCTATAATATCTTTGCTGCAGTTTATAGAGCGTTATGAAGGCACTTTTGGCAAAAGAAATTATAATTTCACTATTGGGAAAGTAGACTTTGTTGCAATTGATGCCCAAACCATTGATGGTATATTAAATTTCAATTATCGCAGTATCTTTGTCGCAAATTTGATCTGCATAATTAACAAGGATTTTTATTTGGTTCAGTGGTGTTAATTCAAAATTTCTTGGAACGTTCATAGTTCTCTAAATATTAAAGTGTACTTTTCAATGCCACATAATTTCTTGTTAGGTTCAGAGTGGCCTTAGGGTATCAGTTGTAAACTGTTTGATTCATTAAATTATTATAAGTGCTTGACTTTTGTTTGAAAACTTTATGGCCCACGTTATTTATGGTTCTTATCTTTGTAAATCATATCAATGAGTACATTGTGCAAAGTAGAACTGTGGAAAGTTGTAAAAAAAAAGTATTACAAATTACTATTTTTTAGCAAATTGTTGTTCAATAATATAAATCATTGGAATATATTTGTAAGAGTTTGACATACATTGCTTTTTCTATTTTTTTTTTATTGCTTGAAATAGCGGAAATAGATGCAAATGCATGTAGTAATTTGAAATTGCTTCCCATTTTAGATTTTTTTTAGTTTTGTACGATCTCCATTATTTCTCTAAATAAATAAACACCTTTTTATTAAATATACTTTTTTAGATTAATGCTTTGTTTTCATTTTTCAATATTAATTTTAATCAAATATCCATATGCATGTTATGTCGGTGAATCGGTGATTCATGGAGTCAGTTTTACTAAGGGAATCATTTTATTTTGGTAGCATGGAGTCAATTTTCCTAAAGGAATCATTTTATATTGGTGGTTATGCTTGTGGTTAATGGTTCACGGAGTCAGTTTCACTAAGGGAATTATTTGTTTCTTACAGGTAACATAAAAGACAATACAACTTCATTTACTTGGTCATTTGTGGATGGCTTATCCACGGGTAAGTCAACTTCATTATCTCTCTAACAGCAGTTTGTTCATTTTAGGTAGCTGAACTTTAGTGCTTCCTCTGCCTCCTAAAAGGCCTTTTATTCAGTTCCATTGTCGTGTGCAAGTGTATGTAGGAGTTTCCTGGTATGAATTGTTAGAAGCTTCAGCAAAGTAACACCAAACCTTGATAAGTTCTTGTCACACTTGTATTAAACAAAGCTCATTGGCAATTCTATTGAACTTGATCTTGTCAGCTGTGACTTGATACTTATAAACACATTGTAATGCATTTCCAAGCATCTTAAAGTGATTGTTTACTTTTTACTTCAAGTAAGCTTGGACACCTGTTTGTTTTCTCATCTAACTCATTTCTCTAAGAGTTCCATAAATTTCATAACATCCCAATAATGTAGTGCAGAAACGCCCAGCATCAGTTTTCTTCCACAAACCAAACTGCATAAGATACCCATCAGAAACAGAAGGCCTAGGCGGCCTTATTCTTTTCCATTCTATTGGAACTCATGAAATCAGCCTTGCATAAATTTTGAGATGCACATCTAATACACGGGCTTGTTTTGTGCCCATAAATGTCAAGAAAAGAACTGTCAGTTGCTTAAAAATTCTCAATTGTCTTGCATCTGCCTCTAGATTTCTAACCTTTCAACTTCACATTAGTCACTGAAACCTTTATCTTTGTTGGACTATAGTTGATAATCACCAGAGGGTATTGAAAGTGGATGGTGTAGAGAGAAAGAAAGCTAAGTGGAGGTGTGGTTTGCACATCTACTGTGGAGATAAAGAGTGAGTTCCCATAAGGTTAGTTGGTCATTATCACACATGTGCGTGTGTTCACACACGGGGGATATTTATTCTGAGTCTCGCTAATATAAGAAAGGGAGGGCTTGCTTTCTGGTCACATAGAAGAGTGAGGATTATTTGATTGATGCTAGTTTAGTGTTTAGCTTTGAGAATGGCTGTCTCGTTTCTACAATTCATACAGAAAGTGTTGAACAACATTAAAACATATTGATTCCTCTAAAATCCATATCCCCATTTCCTTGTTTTTTTGGAGATTATATTTTTGAACTAATTTTGTGTTTACTAACTTTACTTATATCGGATTTCATGCTACATAGAGTCCCATTAAAAATTGAAATACATTTAGATTGAAAGAGGTTATTATTTGGAGAAAGATGTTTAGTGTATGACAACATTAAGTTATCCTCTTCATCAGGTGGAAGAACAAATCCTAGGGTGCTGTTGACCCATATCCCTTTGTACCGTCCGGATTGGACTCCTTGTGGCCCACACCGTTCTTCAGAAATTATCAATCAGGTATTGATGTCTAACCTTTATGAACACCTTATGACTTACTTTCGTTTTACCCCGTTGTGCATTTGTGCAACTTATATTCGCATTACTATCATATATGCCTAACCATTTGGCACTTAACTCACAGGCTTTTTTTCCTTTGTGTTCAGAGGATTTCTCGCTCTGCTTATGATCAGAGGATACTGTAAATTTCATACCTCAAAACTTTTCTGTCAATGTGATATTGCTTTACTCACTCTTTTGTCAATATTGATTATTTTTTGTATGATGCAGATACCAGAATTATGTCACTAAGGAGTCTGCAGAGCATATCTTGGACTCTATTCAACCTGTATGTTCTCTGGCTTTTCCTCTATATGTGAAGCAGAATGAAACTAGTTGCTGCAATAAACAACTTCATTTTTCTGTTTGGTCAGGTACTTGTCCTCTCTGGTCATGATCATGAACAGTGTACAGTCAACCACGAGACAAAACATGGTACTGTCAAGGAGGTAATTAGTCTGATCCAGAATATGTTGCTGATATAGCTGATACGTTGGATACTTAACAAACTAATAACATATTACTACTGCCAGCATACTCTCGGGACGGTAAGTTGGCAACAAGGGAACTTCTATCCATCGTTTATGCTCCTATCTGTAGGCAATTTTACACATGCTAATGGATCTTCTCAAGAACCAGTCATACTTACTCAGCTGTGCTTTCTTCCTACGCAACTGTTCATATATATATGGTAATTGCTTGTAGCTTTACCCGTTTCATTTAAACAATTCGCCTTATCAACTACTCCAAAGTTATTTCAAGTGCTAATGGTTAAATTCGTATGATATTGATTTCCAATTTTAATGATTTCAGGTATATCATACTTTTTGTTGTAACTATTCTTGCTCTGTCAATTTTGCCTACATACGACATAAATCTCCACTTTGGGCATCTGATGACAAAAATAAACAAATTGGTCAGAGAAGATCTTTTTTCAAGTAGTAGAAAAGAGAAAAAACGAAGATGAAAACTGTGAATATGAGATGATGTGGGATGCCGAAGGGAGTTTGCATGTCATCAAGAAGCTTAGTAAAAACCCCTTTGGTTGTGTCAAAGGAGACGAGCTCAACAGAAAGGTTTGTTGGTCTTTTTACCTTCATTTCACTGCTTTGTGGCTTTGCTGTTGATATTTCGTTCCTTTCATGTCTTAGTCGATCTCATGTAGTCATGTCATGTGTCGATAGAATATCATAAAATGAAGCAAATGGCGCACGCCCACACACACACACACTATTACACACTCTTTTTATCCACAAATTATTGGTAGCTGTACTCTCTATAACTTCATGAGTTCATGATATAAATTTCATTGATACAAAGTTAAGAAGAAAAATATTAATAAAATAGTGTTCATTCAATCAAGTGGAGCCTTGGCACACTGTCTTCTCTCAGTTTTTTGGTAATTTGCATACTATTTTTGGAATGGATTGTTTTGCTACTTGATGATAATAGCTCACAACATATTTCAACTAATGGCATGTTTTTGTATAGAGGGAATGCTGTGATGCGTGCTGCTAGGAAACAAATGGTCCTAGAACAAGAGGGTGCAACAAAAGTGGACATTAGTGGAGATCCTGGGTCTGATGTGAAAAACTTGACAAGGTCAAGCAAATCATTACTGAGGATAATGCTGCAACGATTCATTCGTGTACTTGGTATGGTTTTGGTGATCGCTGTGGTGAACGTTCCACTTTACATGATGCTCTTGTTCAAAGATTGGGCTGAACAATGATGCACTCAGGTCACGGTAGGTCTTTTGTAACATCTGTGAATGAAGAACTGGCTAAACAATTTGATTAAAGGTACTTTCCCATTTTACTAGCAGAATTGATAGTTCAAATGATATCCTAGCTGTCGTCGTTCACTGCTTTCATGATGGTGCTTGTTATCAGCTTTCTCTATCTCTGTCTTTTTTCGGGGGCTGGGGAATAGCTTGTTGTAGTATCATGTTACTATTAAGGTTAAAATTGTTGTAAAATCAGAAAAAGGCTTTAATACTTTTAATGTCATGTAACTTTGAAATTTAGTGATGTCTATTAGCTGTTGTAGTGAAGGTCTGGTCGTCTGGAGGAAGTAAGGAGCATATCTGTAGTAATACTTTTACAGTTTTATCCAGTATATTCTTTTGAGTATTTACATGGATTATGATCATGTTGAATAATACGTATGTAAACACCTTTATTTATTTATTTATTTTTTATTTATATGTTCTTATATAAATATTTGACTTTCGCAGGAAATTTACGTATTTGTCATTTTATTATCACTGTTCTTTTCTTTATATTCCATTTTTTTGGAGATGGTTTCTTAAAACGATTCATGATTTTATGCTAGCCATCCAATTATCATTGGGACTATAGAATTTGCTATATACATCCGGGTGTACCGTACATCCGAGTTCATTTGCTAATCTAATCAACAAATGAGCAAGCAATATTTTTACTCATTTGTTGATTAAAGCTCATTTGTTGATTAAATGAGCAAATAACTCCGTGTGTACAGTATACCGGGTGTACATAATAGACTCTCTTGGGACTAAAGCTTTGTTGTTTTTGCCTTTTGGTGTAGTGGAAAGTTTACATTCAACATCACTTGTTCACAAAGTTTAATAAAACAAAGGGTAATTGGTGTGATGAAATTAATGACTCAAAACCTAATTATGATAAGTCACTATAATCAATAAACAAGGTCTCCCCACTTATGAGAGTGAAGTTTTGGATGTCAATTTTACGCGTTCAAGTTGAGTTACCATATTCCCTAAAAAAAAAAATGTTGAGTTACCATATTACTTTAAATTTTGAATATTGAACTTGGGACTGACTATAAACTGCTATTATCTCGTGAAATTCCAGACCAAATGAGCTCAACACGTGAAGTTTCGTTGTCATTTTTAGTATTTTTGCATGCAAAAATTTCAGACCAAACAACACAAGTATACAACCAACAAAACATACCCATGTTTTGATAACATTGATAAGACAAACCTAAGCATTGCAGCAGCCAGCAAATTTGATAATGACTCCTTAAATTTGTTACTCCATACGTCCCTATATTCAAATGTGAACGATTAATTAAGAAGCGTGTTATGAGAATTCATCATTTTCAAACGGAATTAAGATGTACCTACTTTTAGTGTTGCGTGTTTATGTGCTCACGTCATTCTTATTTAAGATTTCTTTTTAACTGGTTGCACCACATATCAATACAATCAATGTATTGGAACGATCGTGTTTTTTTTTTTTTTTTTTTTTTTTTTTTTTTTTTTTTTATTTTTTTTAATGCAAACAAAAGTTACATGTGATTATGTGATGCATGCAAAGTTTCCATGGATAAACATTTGTATGGCATGAACCAATTTATGGTACATGTGGCAACACCGAAAAAACTACGAGCAACCAATTCAAAATATTCACTTTATCACATATGTTGCACTTGCCCAATTCCAAGGGCGGAATTTCATGTTCCATAACATTTTATTGTATTTATTAGAAAATTTCCCAAGATTTTATAAATCCCTACGAATATATAATAAGTATATCTCGTGCATTAATACGGTAAAGCTTAGATATATCTTGTAGAAGGTAAAGTACTTTAAAATTAATTTGTTACAAAGTAACAAGAAACAAGGAGGTGAGGGTGTAAAGGGAGGTAGTTCTATATATCTTTCTCTCAAAACTCGGACAACCTTTTATTTTTCTTATTATCCCTTCATTTTTGCAACAATCACAAAAATATTAAATGAGAGAGCTCCTAGAAAATACCAAAACCAATGGATTTGCTTCATTTGTTGGTTACTTAATACTTATCACATCCATCTTGAGCATTTTTGCTTTCCACTCACCTTTCTCTTTAAACATCACCAAAACATTAGAGCAAATCAATTCAATAAATCATCCTCAAAAGGGTATGAATCTACACTATTTTCCCTAGAGAGAGCGTTGTTGTAATTTACATTATATGTGAATTTTCATTAATGTATGTAGTATTATAGTATTTAAACTAATTATATGTTTTTTTAATGATTTTTTTCAGATAAAAATGGAAAATGTGATTTGTTCAAGGGGAAATGGGTTGAAGATTATTCAAAAGGCCCACTATATACAAATGCAACATGCACAACAATTCCAACGTCAAAAGATTGCTTCTTGCATGGGAGGAATGACAAGGAGTTTTTGTATTGGAGATGGAAGCCACACAAATGTGAGCTCCCAAGGTTCGAACTTGATACCTTTTTTCAAATTATGCGCGATAAGAGGCTAGCATTTATAGGAGATTCTGTTGGTAGAAACCAAATGGAGTCTCTTTTATGCATCTTGTCTCAAGAAGAAGCACCAATTGATGTGTATAAGGATGCAAAAGACCAGTCTCGAACATGGTTCTTCCCTAGGAACAATTTCACCCTAATGGTGTTATGGACTAGGTTTTTGGTTAAGGGTGTTGAAAGAGAAGGTGGAGTTTATGATTTGCACCTTGATCAAGTGGATGAAAAATGGGGTTATAATGTGAGTCAAGGTTTAGTGGATTATGCAATCGTTTCAAGTGCTCAATGGTACTTTAGAAAGAATTATTTATTTGAAGGTGGGAAATTAATTGGATGTCTCTATTGCAATGAAGCCAATTTGACTCAATTTAAAGTGAGTTTTGCTATTGGGAAGGCCTTTCAAACTACACTCAGGTAAGCTTAATTAAGGCTTTTAATTTCGTGTTCTAGATGATTAAGTAACGTGCATAAATGACATGTTATGGTTTATGATTTATGGTGAGGTGTGATTATTAGACCATATTAATTTGTTGGGTTATGTTTATGCACAATTACAACCACCACAACCATCCATCTAGCATGAATAAAGGTTGTTAAACATATTGATTTATTTGCAACTGAACCATAGGAAATGTTAACACGAAATTACTGAATATGTTGTAGGAGGTTTTGGGGGTATCCCTTTGTACTCATAATAAGAAACAATGGTTTTATTATTTATTTATTTATTTTGGGAAAGAAACAATGGTTTTATTAGACTATACAGCTAATATTCTATCTTATATTTTATGATTTTGCCAATAATAGCATGATGACAAAAATACATATTTGGCCAATAAATCCTATTCACTTCACCTTTAAAAAGAATAATATTTAAAGTAAATATTTTTTGTTCGGTAAAAATAAGTTCAATTCAATAAAAATAATTTCATTTAAGTAAAAATAAGTTCAGTTCTTTAAAATTCAGTAACTTTAAAGAGTAAATATAATAGAAATTTAGTAAAAAGTCATTTTATTACAAAAAAAAAAAAAATTAGTAAAATTAATTTCAATTCAGTAAAAATAATTTAATTAAGTCAAATATAAGGTGAAGTGAACTGACGCGGAGCCTAATTTAAAGTATTTCTTTCTTTATTGTTTTTTTTTTGGGTGGATTTATGTTTGGCTAGATTTATTGTTTATGTAGTAAATTATTTAATCCCTTTATTAACTGGAATAATTAGTTGTTATATCCTAGTAATTAAATTAGATTCTAATTACAAAATATACTAAACGTACATGAAATACACATGCAGCTACATTAATGGTTGCAAAAAATTGTAAGGGCATGCTGACCTTGGTGAGAACAATTTCACCAACACATTTCGAAAATGGGACGTGGAACACCGGAGGCCATTGCGAAAGATCAAAACCTTACAACAAAGAAAATATGTTGATATCTAGCAAAAACAATGATGAATGGGAGGTAAGAGACATTCAAATCGAAGAAATCGAAAGAGCAAAGAAAGAAGGCTATTGGAAGGGACAACGAAAATTCCAAGCCTTGGATATCACTAAGGTTATGTTGTTGAGACCGGACGGACACCCGGGTTCACACTGGCGTGACAAGAAGAAGAAAGGGTTCAATGATTGTGTGCATTGGTGCATGCCTGGCCCTATTGATGTGTGGAATGACCTCTTCTTAGCACTACTTAGTTGAGTTCATCCATTGTAGAAATTATGGTTAAATTAGGTTGGATTATAAGTATAATTACAGTATTCTATACATGTATGACAGGGTGGGGGCCGGGGGGGTCTTTATTAATTATTTCAACTCGAGTACTACCAAAATTGTGGTGCTTATGAAAAAAGTTGAAATACGCTTCGTACATATTTTACAAATTTTTAAATAAGACCGTCTTATCATCATAAAATTACATTGTAGAATTGTAGGTGAATTGAGTCAAGGAAAAAGGTGAAACTGTGATAGGAATCATAGGGTCACATACTCACTAGTCGCAATGACTCACAAAAATAATCTAATGATAATAATAAAGCGGTCTTTCACACATATACATTATACAAATAATTGAAAAAACGTACTCCATATTGAAGTCTCATAACCGAATAGAAGCAATTTTGTCACGTTTTTTAAGAGGGCAATTTCTAATTCCTATTACGCACTTATCTGTAGAATAAATATAAATGGACGGTAACAGCTTAAATAATAAATTTGTTGTCCATACTCATGAATGATGAATCAATTTTGTCAGTAAATGATTTGAACAATCATTGCACATGCATGCAATAAGCTATTTACGAGTAGGAATTAATTAAGGAGTACATTTCTTAAATACATTAATTCAGTTTTTCACATGATCAATATTTTATGTCAACGTGATGAGCAACTCAAGACTTCAAGCTTTTCTTATCTTATCCAAAAAGATGAGAAAAAGATCGAGAGACTTCAAGCTACGTCCCCCATCCTTCCCTTTTCACATTACTCTCTCTGTTTTTATGTTGGACTTAGGTCGTCCAACTTTTTGAGCCATACACTCGTAATTGCCTTCAATTCACTTCACATTAGTATGATATATTTTTTTTTTCTTTTTGAAATATGTATGATATTATTATTCACTTTAAACATAATCTACGCATATTTGTTTTAAGAGCTTCTTCTTAAAAAAGTCTTATTTTTTTCATCATGTATATGTATATCCTTCAATACTTGTATGCCTAGTAAGAACAAGTATGTAGTACATGAAAAGTGACATTTTAGTATATATGGGAGGTTGATTGGGGAATTTTAATAGTTTGTAGAAAAAAAAAAATTAGGTAAAAGTGGATTTAAAGAAAAGAAACGATAAAATGATTAATATTGGTCTTCTTGTCAAAAAAAAAAAAAAAAAAAAAAAACTACCTTGCAATTGTTTAAAAATAGTCATATAGCACATAAAATTTGATTA